CCATGGATTTATGGATGTCCAGATTGCTTATGATGCTTATGATGCTTATGTTATGATTCAAACACAGGCAGGAAGACTGGATGAGTTTCTAATTTCATCCACAAAGACCATACGAGCCCCTGCTCCTATTGTAGTAAGTCAGAAATTAGCAGTATGTTGGCATTTAAGAAGAGCCTTGATGTCCTGTGGACGATAATCCTTACAGTGCAAGAGGTTAGCAAGTCCCCAGAAAGTTCAGAACAACCAACCTGAACAAACATCTATATTTTTTCACTCATGTTGTTATATTTAAATTTTTTTAGTTTTTCTGAGGTGAAATTACAAAGTGTCACTCTTAGGAGTGAAACATTCTGTCAGTTTGAACAGCCTAGCCATGGATATTTCTGTTAATATTTTTCCTTCCAAAGGGGTAAGTAACAGCCAGTCACATGGACAGTCAGTAAGACTGATGCATGAGGAACACCTCCAGAAATCAAGCTCTTCCAACAAGAAAACTTTAATGAAGGTGTCCCACAGTGATTCAATTAAAGTAGCAGGCTTTCTGTTCACTGTGTGCATTGTGCTTTGCGTTTTTACAGCAGATTACCACAGCAACGGCTACACTGTGACAAATGGCTGGAAGATACACAACACAGCCAAAAACAAATGGTTTGTCTGTATGGCCAAGACTGCAGAGGACAAACAGAAATGGCTGGATGCTATAATCAAGGAAAGGGAACAGAGAGAGAGTAAGTGGATAATGTATTTTCTAATGCGCTGAATGAACCTGTGTACACAGGAGGAATGTATATGCATGTATAAGTATCTGAGAGAAAAAGAAAAAATGGCAGGTTTTCCTCCATGGGCAGAATTAAAATCTATCCTTAATGACAAAGAAAATCAAGTGATTGAAAACAAATATTTCTGAATGTATACCTTGGGATTTTTATGGACTTCTGTCTGTTTATTTATCAAATATTTCTGTTTACCAGAGTCAGTGTCTTTAAATTACTGTGACAAAATTACATTCAATCAATTTCTTTTTCTAGTCTTTTATTTGTAAATAACTTGTACTCATAAACTCAGCCTCCATGATCTTGAAATAAACAGAACAGTTCATGGAGAAAAACTCTAGAAATACTACACTTAAACTGAGAACAATGACAAATGTATGCAGGTGCTTGTCACTTCTCTATTTTCTTGTGGAATGAAACAAAAACTAAGTTTATCTTGAAATGGTAGCGTACAATAGAAGCAAGCTCATGAAGCCTTGAATCTGGGTGGATGATAAAACTTACGTGTTCCTTTAGAAGTCAGAACTATCTTTCACTAGTCAGCCTGCTTCCCTGTTTGCTCAATGGGAGCTATAATAGCTAATTATCAGAGGAAATGACACTTATTTTAAAACATTCTGTGCTTGGCTTTTAGAAGTGGTTCCCCTCTGTGCACATGCAACTTCATTAAAGATGTAATTACTCATCTATGCTAATATTGAAAAAGGTCAGCCCTTTTTTAGTAGTGTGTTTTCAACACTTCTGATTGCTAGGCAATAATGCTTTAGGTTTTTTTAAGTATTTTAAGAAGACTGCAGATCTATTGCTGTAGTTTAATGAAAGCAGAGAATCTAAATCCTTTAATGTCCTTTGAAATTCATACCTTAGTTTTCTTTTTAAATACTTTGCATCTAATCTGCTAAACACAATACACATTGTAGTGTTATTTGTTACCATAGAATAGAAAACATTTCTAACATACCTTGTCATATATGAACCCCAATACAACTTTTGAGAATAGCAAGGATACTGCCTTCAAAATGTAAATCAGGCATGCGTAAATTCAAAAGAACTACCCAAAGGCAACAGATAGAATCAGGCTTCATATTTATTTTTTTTTTATTAAAAGGAAGTGTTTTACCATTCAGAGCTGGTGATCTGTGCTCATTGCTCAGTTCTGCCTTGCACTCTAAGGATCCTGATCTTACATGTGTTACATTTTTTTAATAAAATACATTTCTTGGCTCTTACTTTTGCCCTCAGAGTGCTAAATTTTATCTCTAAAAGATCCGTTGAGTCTCCATTTCATAGTCAATTTTCACTTTGTGTGATCACTGGTGCTCTGCGGATTTTCCTGTGCATCAGGTAAAATGTGTGAGGAGAGAACAAGTTTGGTAAGAAGCAGAAAGACAAGACTGGCAAACAAACCATATATAAACAGAGGGCCTGAGAATATGGGGAGGTAACTGAAATAAGTGTTAGGAAGGGAAAATAACTATTCCTTAATAGAAGGTTTCTCAAAGTTTTCCATGCAGCATTGGCTAGTAAGTGTGGGGTTTTTTTCTGATGCCTTTTGTCATATAGTTTTATGATGTGGCAGCTGATGGCAGGCACTTGGGATAAGCATAGATATCCTGGCAGACATTCCAGGCCTTACTGGAAAAGCTCCTTTGGATCAGAGTTCTTGCAAAGTCACAGTTGTAACTCTAAGTTTAAAGCTACTTTTTAAAATAGAGATGTTGCAAGCATTTCATTGGTGCTAAGCTTGCCAATGACAGTTTTGTACTAGAATAAATAAATGAGCCAACTTCCCCCTTATTGGGAAAATAAGTCAGTTAATTTTTGTGGTTTTACCACTTTGTTTGGCCTCAGCTTTTAACTTTGAGCAAACACTTTATCTGATGTTAAGGATCTGAAGGAATTTCTGCTTCGTATTCCAGGTTTGAAACTGGGAATGGAGAGGGATGCGTACGTCATGATCGCAGAGAAAGGAGAGAAGCTGTACCAAATGATGATGAGCAAGAAAGTGAACCTTATCAAAGACAGGAGGAGAAAATTAAGTACTGTTCCCAAGTGTTTTCTTGGCAAGTAAGTGGCGTTTGAATTGAAAAGGCCCTTTCATACCAATTAAAAGAATGGACTCTAGATTTTCTGGGTATGGCGTTGTGAGGTCAAATAGGATGTGCTTTGATGCAGCTTAATTGAAAAAGCCGTAACCCTCATTACAGTTGTGATTTATTAAAATTATCACTGATTTCTATTTCACACCATACGCAGGTTGTATGATGACAGCTCATTCTATTGTACAGTAACAGCTGTTTCAAATCGGCAAAAGGAATAAGAAAAAATACCTTAATTCCCAAAAGCTTAGGGCTGCTGCTGGCCTAACCTGTATCTTCTTTTGTATACAACCAAACACCAAATGATGTTTAAATACAGCAGAACTATCCAAGCCTCAGGATTGAATTTTGAAGTTTGCTGTTTGTCAACGTAGCAGGCACAAATGAAATTTTGTGCATCATCATTTGATGATTAGATTAGATATGATAGCAGCAAGGCTGATATAGGGATATGCCCTGCATGACACACAGGGAAACATTACTTGACCTGAGAAGACTTTTCTGCTTCAGCGGTTTATGATTGAAATGATCAACTGTGGGAGGAAAAAAGTTCTGAGAGGCAAATTATCCATTCATTTCCCTTCCCTCCCCTGGTCTCTGTAAGGGCAGTTTGCAGGCAGCATTCCTTGTGTATGTGGAAGTGATGCATTGTCTCTCTGCGTGACAAGAGGCAATCTGGTAGCATAGGCTGGCAATATTGCAGCTATAAAAAAAGAAAAACAAATAAATCTTGATTTTTGAAGATTTGGTTGCTTCCCCCCCCCCCCAGATTGTCTTTCGTGTTGCCCCCCCCCCCCCCCAGTTGATCTTGCTGGATTCAAATGCTTTAAGCTCTGATTTTGGAGGCATGATACAGCATTTCGTACTTTCCATGCAACAAGAAGTACCAGGTCAGAAACTTAGTTCTTCCAGTGATGTTATATATGAGTCTGTTGTGGATTCCCGGATATTTTGCTTAGTCTCAAGTGTTACCTGGAATTTCCTGCTTCTCCTTTTTTCAATTTAGAATTACTGTTTTCTTACATGCTTCACAATCTGTCCTGCTCATTGCCTGCAGTTTGCTTGACAGCCAGCTGGCACTCCAGTAGTGAGGGCTTGACCTAAATTTGCGCAATGGGTAACTGGATTGAGATACCAACAGGTATCCTCATCTCTGACAAAAGCATTATTTCTGCTAATGTTTGAGCCTTCCCCATAGAAAATAACTCTGTTGGTATCTTTTCAGCAGTCACTTGTCAATACAGTCCTGGGCAACTCAGTAGAGCAACTCAATTGGTAGAATCCAGTCATGACTCAAAGATTTTTTTGTATCATTCCTGAGGCTTCTCCTGAACAACACATGCTGGTTGTGACCTATTCATTCTTTCAGATATTCCTGGCTAAGGGAGTCACTAATAACTGTGCTGAGATGTACTTGGTTGTTTTCTGCTACGTGCAGCTGAGAGTAACACTAAAGCCATAAAAATATTTTTTTCTCTTGGCCTTTGGCTGTCAGATAGTATCTAATAATTCACGAGATACAATGTAGTTGCAGGAAAAAACATTAACTAATCCTAGTATCTTCAGAAATATCTAATATGTTTATTTATAAGGCTCTTTATTGAACTTAACCTTAGCAACTGGCTTGCTTTGGTGCAAATCATTTTCCTAACCACTCCAGGTGTACTGGCATTTAGACATGTGTGTAGTGATACAATGGTAAGGATGTCTGTTGGTGCCAATATTTGTAAGTCATATACTTGCCGTGCTTCTTTTCAGCACTGCACTAAACCTTCAACTGTATTGAGCTTGTAATAGAGAGGATCTGTTAACCTCAGGAGATTCTAAGCATATCTGAACGGATTTCACAAACCTGGATGGGTTGGATTTTCCTGTGTAGTTCTTGAGTAGAAACTCAGCTGTTCTGAGTCCCTTAATTTCAGAGCTATAGTTGGAAGATGACATCTTGACTTGCATTGTCAGATGAGAACTGAGCATGGCAGCACTGGGAAGTGAGGACACTCTCAGTAATACTGGAGAACTGCTTAGGACAAGATGAGGAAGCAATGAGTGTGTGTCTTGTATTCTCCGTAGTGAGTGTGGAGGATAATTCTGACTTTTCTTCCCTCCTGCAGTTTATATTCTGTTTCAGCTTCTAAATACTTCTAGAAACAGTAAAGAATCACTGGGAAATTGAGAATGAGCTTTCCTTAGGAGATGGAGAGTCTGACTCATCATTACAGCACTCTGGCTTTAGGAGTTCTACAAAACTCTGCTGGTTTCCATGGGATTCCCCTGGCATAGTTGAACAGATCCTGCAGCCTTTTCTACACTATGACAGTTACAGAGTAGCCCCTCAGCAAACCAAAGTTTTCAGGACTGAAGTTGTCGTTGTTATTCTAAAGGCAAAATGCAAATGCTACCTACAGCTTAGATGAGTCAGCTCTGATAAACATGAAGAGACTAAAAATAGTTCATTTAGAGCCCGCAAGTGTAGGCATGGATACTGGTTTTGATAAGCAGCAACCCTCTGCGCATTGGCAAGCACCCAAGTAGTTTATTGAACTCAGATTTCCCATATGTCACTCTACTTTTATATATTCCTTTTGTTCTTCTCTATGAATTTAACACATTTCTAGTATAATCGCTAATTAACCTGAAAAACAACTCAGCCCCCTAGGGCTTTGGCAGTGCTGTTATTCATCAGGCTTGCAATGCCCATTTTCCTGTACTTACTGTTTCTAATTGAGTATCATCCTACATATCTATCCATTTTTGGCTTTTATTCTGCCCATATGTGCAGCTCTGTCCATCATCAGAGAGAGGTTTTGTTTTGTGCTGCATGAGCAGACACACTTAGCACATTTTGTCTATGAATTGGAAGCATCATTTATGTATCTGCCAGGCACCAACTCCAGTAAATGACCTTAAATTAACCTGTCAGTGGGACTTGTGCTCTCTGTTACTGCTCTGTACTTGAATTCAGTCAGTTGAATCTTCTGTCTGCAGTCCTACCGTGATTCCAATAGAACCAATGCAGTTGCACCACTAGTGTACACACTGGTGGTTTGGGGGCAGAAATCAGACCCTGTGAAGAAAGGTGAGCATATGTAACTAAGTCAGATGACAAACACTGCTTGGATGCATAGCTTGGATAGAAGCAGCTGCTTTCTCTACTGTCCAACTTGTTTTTAAGGTCATGAGTTACTCTTGCTTTCATTTTTCCCATCAGATGTCCGGATTGCTCAATAAAATAAGGATTTTCAGCATCTTTATAGATCCAGCCAGGTTGTCTTTCCTTTTGTGTGCATCCTAACTATGATGAGCTAAAGGGAATGGTGGGAAAGGTCATGGATAAGAGATCTGGATCTTCTGCAGAGCATTTTCTCCAGAAATGTAGGAAATTGAGCCACCTAGTAGAGGTATCATCACTTACAGCACTTTTCACACTTGCTTCAAGGAGAAGGTCTCCTGTGGTTGGCTGATGACTTGCAGATCCATGTATCTGCTCATATTCAGAGTAAAAAAGCTAATTGGTTCTCTTTTGCTTCCCTTTGCAGTGAGTTTGTATCATGGCTCACAGAGATTGGAGAGATAAGCAAACCAGAGGAAGGGGTCAACCTCGGACAGGCACTATTGGAAAATGGGATCATTCATCATGGTGAGTGGCCATAATCTAACACCATAATGGTGTTAGATGTTAGTAGTGCCCTGCAAATGACTGTGGGAAAACTGACTGCAGCAGTTCACAAGATGCTCACTTTCCTGTGCCATACCCATCAAATCCTCAAAACCCTTAATAGCTTTTGGGGTTAATGAGTAGGCAAATTTATGTAATGAAAACATGACTTGTTGGGTATCTGAAAGTGTTTGTGCCTGCAGTTGCTTGATTTCTCTGCAACATGTTTGTTGGAGACTATATTAGGTGTATATTCCTTTGGACTTTGTGTGTTTGAAAATCTATAGTGATCAATAAATACAGCTCTCCAAAAGAGACATCAGCGATACAGAGGATAGTCAAGCAGTGCTTTTTCAGAATGGGGCACAGGTACAAACAGTGAGGGACTCCAGACGATGGATCGTTCTTTCTAATGAGACTGCTTGCCATAACGGGAAGAGATGATGGAGGGTTTGTTGTAGGATTTGTTCTTTCTAGTTCATTTGGCAAGAATGTCTCTCTTTAAAATAGTGATGCACCATATTTCTTCATCACACCCAGCAGATGACCTTGAAGTGTTGTGATGAAGGTATTTTAGAAGAGTTGGATCATGCATACAAAAGTGCTGCGTGACCAAGTAGCACAAGATGCTTGTGTTTGAAAATTTCTGTGCTATCTGCATTTCTACTAAAATAAGGTCTTTCTCCAGATTTGTCCTGCTGTTTCCTGTTATTTTCATATTACATTATACAGACAGAGCAACATAGTCCTATTCTAGTTAAACAGCAAATGTCCTAATTTCAACTTGTAGGTGAGTTTAGCTGCAGAATGCACATCAAAGGAATACAGTATATAGGTCTTAAGTCACCAGTGGTCTACATTTCCATACAATCTCTTGGAAACCAATTTAAATAGGGGAGCCATTTAATTAGGTTAGTCTTGCTTTAATCTCTTGGTAACTCAGCTCCACAAACTTGTCTTTCAGGTGACAATAACACCGTTAAGAAATTATGTCTGTTATCTTCTTTTAATTAACACAGAGAGAAATTTAATATGCACAGTACCATGATCTTTCATGCACGTACACTTCCACCCCCAGGCACCAAGGCGTGCTTTCAGGCACATTCAGACACATTCAGACTTCTAAGGTCTTTGGGCATGAGCTAAAAAGCACTGTACATTTTTAGGTACTTGGCCCTAACTGTGGCTTTGGAGAACTGAAACACTCTGGCTCCAGTGTGTAGGGATCCCCTTTACATGAAGAATGCTCTTTTGCACTCACACCCTTACTTGCCTACTTTCTGAATGTTTATACCTGCTCTGTTGGTGCAAAAAGCTCACCTGAGACTTGTTATTTCATAGTGACTGTTTACCTTGCCATAACTTCATACTTTGGCACTTTCAACAGCGTCCTTTTACTCCAAACACAAATTTACAGTGCAAAGAAAGTTGTGCTGTTTTATATACTGCTTCCCTTACTCAAATGCCCTGAGTAAGATGCATCTGGTTTGGTTTTAATGTTACCTTTAGTTAGAGTTCCTGATGTTAGTATCTCAAATGACGGTTACTGCTAGACATTGAAAGGTATTTGCAACAATGCAAGGAAATACCCTTTGAGATTTTGATACATCATTAAACATGGTAGTATCCCATTATGTGTCTCCTAATGTAGCAAGAACTCAAAATTTAAGCAACATAACGAAGCCCTTACCACTATTCTACATTAGGCAATGTCTTTTATCTTTTGTTTTCTCTTGGCATAACATTCCTGTCAGGTGAAAACTGCTGATCTCTCAGCCTGCCTGAGAAGCAGGGCCATAGAAGATTACTAAATGCTGAGCTCTGTGCTAAGTGCTGAGCTCTGTGTGTTTTATCGCTCAATTTCCTCTGTATCTCCTTTAATTCTGGCTATTTTATCTGGGACTGCTGATGTGGAAGTTCTGGTACCTGTCGCAGAGAGCAGAAGTCATCAGAACCTGATCTGCTGTGTGCCCAACACAAAATACACTTTCTGCAAACTCTGTTCTCAACTGGATTTAGAAATACAAAATCCTGAGCATGCAGACACTCAAAGAAGTCAGTAGCTTGCACAACTTAGAGATTCTACCATATACAAAAGTATATACACCAGATCTTGCACATTTTATCTTATTAAGTGAAATTAAGGAAAAATACCACCAATTAAATTAAGCTATGAACAATGTCATTTCTATACTATATACTGTAAAATCTGGAAGATACTTTATTACTTATTTTTAATTTGAACACTTTTGGGTACTTTTTACTTCTAATTACCACTTATTTACTAATCAGTAAAACTAGTAAGTTCTACTGGATACTAAATTACTGTCTTGAGTATGAAGTATTTCCCACCTCCATGTTCTATTGATATAGTTTACCTTAGAACCCTACATATAATTGCATGTAGACTTAAACCCTCTTCCAGTCTAGTGCCTTGGATAAATCTGTTTGAAACTGGGTATGGTTTTTAACTATTTTCTGATTTTGGCCAATGCTTCTTTTGAAATGGCTCCTTATAACACTGAAATATCTTTTGTCTTTAAAGCCTGTCTGTATATAGCATTACCCAATCAGATTTCATCTGCCCTGCTGTGGAATGACTTTTCTGGGTAAAAAAGCAGTATCTCCAAAATACTGTTTAATTTTTAGAAGTAACTCACTAGTGAACAGTTGTGGTAATTTGCAGGCACTTTGTTCAAAATTTGTCGATGAAAGTCAGATGGTCCCAGTTACCTTCACTAGGGCTGTTTCCAAAGCCTTACGTAAACTGAGTCTGGTGTAAAGCTTTATTGGAGCTGCAGTATTTTAGAAAGCTGATTTTGTTGGTGGCGCTATTCAGAAGTACACAAAAGCCAGCAAATCTTAAGATGTAGACATACCAACTGGCCTATGAAGAACATGTCAGGGGGGCAAAGACCATTTTAATTATCATACTGGTATTTCAGTTTCAGATAAGCATCAGTTTAAGAATGAGCAGGTGATGTACAGATTTCGCTATGATGATGGAACGTACAAGCCAAGAAGTGAATTGGAAGACATCATGTCCAAGGTTTGTATTATCATTCTTAGTTGGAACTTTGTGATTTGCGTCACGAGAGTTTCCTCTACCTCTGAATGTCGCTGACCTGTTGTATAGGAGATCCCTAATTTATTTTTGTTTTATTAAGCTATCCATCTTAATGCCATAGGAGACATTCACTCCAGGGAGAGGAAACAGAGCTTAGCAGTAAATAACAATTAAGTTGTGAGTGCACCCGAGACTGCTGATTACAGTCCTAATATAGTAACAAAAGGTCTTAGAAGAAAGCAGTGGGCCATAATACAGCATGTCTGCTGAAAATCTGGGCATTATGGTTCAGGGAGAGAGAGGAGATCAATATTTAACTGCTATTCCTTATAATTGTATGTCAAATGAGTTCTGTTGATCCCATATCTACCCATATACCTTTTGATAAATTGGATTTCTTCTTACGGATATCACTTCATGGGGTAATTGTGAGCAAGGATTAATGGAGAAAGCATTGGACAGGAGGTGATTAGAGATAAGAAAACGCAGATTTTTTGGCGTCTGGAGGCAGGGAAACAAGAAAGAATGTTTGACGGACCTGATAAGGGAAATGTTTTGAAAAACAGTTAATCAATAGATAATTCCAGCTGAGTAGAGACATCGGTGTCCAGGTTTTGCTAGTTTTAGCTAGTCAGTGTTTCTTTGAAAAGGGACAAACTGATAATACCATGCATCTTTCCTTCTTTAGGGTGTGAGGCTCTACTGCCGACTACACTGCCTGTATACTCCAGTGGTAAAGTAAGTTCACCTTCGTGATTCCCGTGTATATATTAACATGCTTTGTTAAAAGGTTGTCATGTTACTGTTGAAATCTTTCTTCTTTCTTACTATAAACAGTAATTTTCTGTATCTTCATGCCTCTTTTATGACTCTTCTATTGTCACAGTTTAGATCTGTAGTTGTATGTCTGCTGGAGGATGTTGGAACCAAGTTCTGGGAAAGCAGGAGGCCAGTGTTACAGCCTTCCTGACGTTTGCTTCCTGTGTCAGCTCATGAGAGCTGTTAGCATCACATGAGTTTATTTGTTTACTCTGGCATTTTCTGTGAGTTAAAGTGGGTGTGATTAGTGAGTGACTACTGATTCAGGGCAGATCGTGCAGTGTGATTGTAGCTGCTGTAGTATTTGGGTTATAGAAAATGTAAACAGATGCTAAAGGGATGTAAACGGGTTCCAATGTGGAGCCTTACTGTGACGTCAGATGAACATTTCTGGCCTATCATGGAAAGCATTCTGAGCCATGTAGGTGTTCCATGTCGGTGTTTACGATTGAATATCTGGCATTTTCACTTAGGATAACTTCATTTTACATTAAAAAAAAATGATGAGGAAGAAAAAAAAACTCTGATGGGCATCACTGGAGTCCCAAATTCAACAAAATTACCCTCTTGTCCCTCAGTTGTACAACGTATGTTTCCTTGAGAGCTGCCATTGTCATGCTAAAAGAAGCTGCAAAGATAGTTACAGTTCATCAGTCATCAGTTTGCCTAGTTAGATCTCTGGGTTGTTGTTTTTTTTACCCAGAATAGTGGTTCTACAATAGTATAGATTTCAGTTAGTGTAAAGTGCATGGAAGGAGCAGGAAAGCATGGTGCAGCCCTTGGTAGGCAAAATGGTTATGTACATGGATGTGTGTATTTACATGTACAATTTTTACCCCTTAAATTCACGTGCAGAGTAGGAATCATGGTAGGTGAAGCTGAAAAGGTTTCACTGTCCTCAGGGTACACATAGACTGAAAGGGATGAAGTTTTATACTTTAGGGAATCAGCGTGGGCAAAATAACTGCCATATGTCTTACAGTGTTTTATCAATATAATGGTTTTTTAATAGAGTCCCAGCTGGAGAATCTTCTAATATCGGGATTAATCTGTGTTGATGACAGCATTGACTCTAAACTGTGTATGACCAGTGAAAAATAGCAGATTCTCAGAAGTTTTGGGATCCTTCTGGATAGACTTAACGTTCTCAGTATGTTTAGGCACTTCTTCCCTCCATTCTCTTTCCTACTCACTCTTCCCTTTTATCTCCTTGTTCGAAAACTGGATCTCCCAGGCTGTCATCCTTTCATGTCTTCTTGTCAGGTCTTTTTGCCTCTGACAAGGCTGATGTTAGCCTAAAGGAGCTAGATTTTACCTATGTTAGTTGTGCAAAGCCTACTTCTTTCTGCTCTGCCTTTGGACCACTGCTTTATCTGGCATCTTCAGACTGCTGATTTCTGCAATTATGCTAGCAAGGTTGATGAGGCTTACTTTTCTGGTGCAACCTTCCTTCTAGAAAGTCAGCAAAACTGCTTGGAGTAGCATGTGCATGTGCCAAGAGGATCTGGAGGAATCATAAAGTTCAAAATTCAGTTATTTTGTGGACAACTTTGGAATGTAATTTTGCTTAGTTGTCTTCCCTGGCTACCTGGGAATTTCCATGTAGCCTTTGCCTTTATAATTTTCTTGAAGTAGACTCCGACAGTGATGTACTTTGAGAATGAGATTATATACCCCACTAGGAATAAAGCTTGCTACTTTGGGGGATGATACCTAAATGTAAAACATTTTGGAGAATCTCAGATTTAGAGAAGGTTCTAAATATGTCTCTGATCCAGTTTGGGGAAGTTGTGAGGGCAGGAGAACTTGCTGCCACTTACACGTGATGGACAATAATACTTCAGTGCATAGATGGGCTAGACCCTATGAAGACCATTACATTCCTCTATTTTCCATGAGGCAGCAAGGTTTTAGGAAAATTGCAACAGTTCTCACATGTATATTTGACTGTTCACCTGCAGCTCATGGTTCTGGACAACATTGTATGATTCATGCTCTGCTCTTGTTCGGGCTCTGTTGAAATGGGGGAAAAGTCAGTGTACTAATGTTGAAATATTCATCTTAACAAGCATTTAACTACAAACAGTAAAAGGCTGGGCCTTGGATCAAGTTCCTGATGCCAACTTATTCAAAATTCTATCTCTATGTCAGCATCAGACTTGAAATGTTGGGAGTTGCTTCTCACAGTCTGGAAACCCCTACTCATTAGTACTCAATATTTTAATGCTTTGCTTTATTGTTCTGACACTTGGAAAGCACATTTTCTCAAGATAAGACTGTGAGAGGGAAAAACTGCCCTGAAAACTCCCACAGTTTTGTGCTGGGTTTAGCACATTACTGGAACACAAGTTGAAAAATGTGTGTAAGCAATATGAGGAAAGCTTTTGTTCTGAGGACACATATTTCTGGAAATGCTGTCATGTTTGGTGGTTTGGGTTTTTTATCCAAGTTCTGAAAGTCTTGCTTCCCTTTCTAATTTCTCACTCCCTGCATTCTACAACCATGCAGCCATTTCTGCTGCATTTATTTACAGAAGCCAGTCACAACATGTTTTTCTCTGTAGTTGATTAGTAAAAGGAAAACATGAGTAGGATGAATTTTAGATGGTGGTTTGATTTTACGTGTTTAGAAAAAAGGAAATATCAAATGGTGTGGTGCTAATGAAAGAGACTGATTTGACAGAACTGAAGAATAAAGTCTTCTTTTGAGCTACCATATAGATACATCCGGTCCGTAAAACAGTCACAGGGTCTGTGAATGTCTCCTTCCACAGTCATGCCAGTAAACCTCAAGCTTGAAATAGAAGGACCACCTCCAAGGGTGAGAGAGGAATTAATTCTTCGTAGCCATTCAGCATTTGGCCTCTCTACTGAGACTCTCAACAAGAGGGAGCCAATTAATGCAAATTAATTGTGGTAATGGCTTTTGTGATGTGGAACTAGGAACTGGATCAAGACCACCAAACTTATTTCACACAGGCCAGTAAACAGCCTTAAAATGGAAAGAGCTTTTCATTCTCTTATGAGCTGGATTAAATCCAGTGACCTGGAGGTGAAAGGTGTTAGAGCCCAATGTTCTGAGCCACACAGTCCTCTTATATTTGTATCAAAATTCTGTAGAAGTACTTTATGAAAGACTAAAAACATCAATTATCTCCATGACTCTGAGAAGAGGAATAGAAGAAAACTGGTAAATGCAGCAAGTTACAATAGTGTTTCTTTTCCTTATTTCAAGAACAGTCTCTGAGGACTGTGTGTGACCTGTTGCAAAGTTGTGTTACAAGTCCTAAATACATTTCCTTTTTTATTAACAATGGCTGAAATGATCTAATGCCATAAAAGAATAGTGTGTACTCTATTTGTATCTGGCTGCTCTGTGATATTTTGCTAAAGGAAGTAAAATCTGAACAGGTGCGGAGAATCAGGAAAACATCTCTTGACAGAGTAGGCTAAAAGGTGCTTAATTCCCTGAGCCTAAGAAAAAGGAGGCATGGAGGGAATATGTAGGGTCACTGTCTGTGAATACACTGATGTGTATACACTAGAGAAGAACTGTTTAAGCTTATAGATGGGGCTGGCACTGAGCCAATAAACGGAACAGGAATAGATTTAGGATGGAAACTAAAGATTACTTCAGACAGAAAAATATGATTGTCAACAGGACTGATGGTGGCAATATTCTAACCTGAGCTAAAGCAGCAGCTTTGTACCTTTGTGAAAAGAATGTCCTGGTTGCCTCTGGCAGGAATATGAGCACTTTGAAGATGGCTTGAAACTACATTTAGAGAAACATGAAGTAACAGTGCTCTGTATGGATCTGAAATATCTTCCTAATTCAAGTTGTTAGAAAAGTTTAGCCTTTCTTCTAGAGAAAAAGGATATCTGCTTATATATTTGTGGCTGGGAGTCTCTCTTATTTTTTTTCCCCCATCTCTTAATAATTATTCTTTCCTCCACTTCATAATAGTAGATCACGATAGTATATGTAGGTTTAGAGTGTAAAAGAAATGTTTACCTTTTTTTGTCCTGATTTTTCTTTGAATTCTGTTTCTGAATTAGAGACCGTGACTACCACCTAAAGACCTACAAATCAGTAATCCCTGCAAGTAAACTAGTGGATTGGCTTATTGCACAGGTAAGAAAATTTTAAGATAGTGCTGTCTTTGATAAGTAGCTTAATTTTTCAGTTGCATTTGAAAGTAAATAATAAACATTTATCTAGAGAACATAATTTAACATTTTCTGATTCTTTTTTAAAAATTTTAAATCTTATTCTTTGTTATTCTTCATTTTGTGAAAAAACTTATTATTTGGCAGCATAAAGAGGAAGAAAGACCTTTGTTAGCCTTAGGAGTGATAAACTGACTGTTCTTGGGGATCTTTTATATTTCTTGTGATTTTCTGAAGACATTTAAAGCAATATTGATCTCATTTTATCTCATATAGGTGTAGTACAATTTTATTGAAAAAATAATCTAGAGTTTTACACCAACAACTATAACGTTGTCTTTAGAAATTGTAGTTACCCCACATTTACCTTGTAATTACAGAGAAGAGCCTGTAGCTTGGGAAGTTAAAAACTTAACTTTGATAGTCTAAAAAAAAAAAAAATCTACAGTGTGCCATGTTGCTCACCATCATAGAGTCAAATGCACATTCTAGTTTTGTCTTACGTGATGGTCTGATTCACAATAACATTAAGTCCTATACTGCCAAATTAACATGAAGAGAGGCTAGCTTGAATGAGAATCAGGCCTCTGACACAACCAGGGATGTTGTCTTTCAGTAATGTTTCCTGCAATTGCATATGATGTACTCCTACATTTGTAAGATTGATATGATTTAACGTTGTTCTGTGCCAAATAACTGGATGTGAGCAAAGTAGTCAATTGTTTTCTTGCTTAAGAGCACAGAGGAGAGCAAGGATATTGGTACGGAGGTTGTCATATCAATTACATGATATAATGGGGTCTTATTCATGAAAGCTGAAGGGGGGAAAAAAAGGCTGCTTTGACCAAAGAAGAGAGATGTAATCAGGCTAATCTGGCCAATATAGTAGTTAATCATAGAGCTGCAGGCAGTAGAAAGACAGATAGCAAGGTAAAACATCAGCTTTTGGTAGCTCGTTTCCTTCCCCATTTTTCTTCATTCTGGTAGGTTAATCTGGCTGTTAGTTCTCCTGTTCACTGAACTTTACATTATGATTGAACTAGAATGCACTAAAGCAAGATATGGAGACACAGGAGACTGTAATTTATATTGTGTGTATGTGTGTTTATGTACACGTATACAGATGCAAAGATGAGGGAAATTTCTTCTGTGCGCAGTTAAAGGGGAACGTTGTTCAACATTTAAATCACTGTCTATGATTTAGATGAATTCCAGTCTATGTGGCTAAATAAATCTTTGCTTATAGATCCTTACAAATAGCAATTTCCATGAGGGTTTGCTTGGAGTTCTCATACTAGATTGAGCTATTTTCTAGAAACCATTCATACTTTGGCTATCTTAGCTAACAACAGATTTTAGTGAGAGCTAATTAGCACTTTTTGTGGAGTAGTGTATTTAGCTCTAGGTATTTAACTGCTTAAATACCTACCTTACAGTTTAACTTTACGCATCTGTTCTTGAAAATCTTGGTGACGGTGTCTGATCTGATAGCTACCTGTTACACAAAAATGCTGGAATGTATTTCTGTTTCTGACAAACAGTTTGCATCTAAACAAAAAAGTTTAGAAATAGTGCACAAAAAGTGAGGACTATTGTTTCTATTAGATTTAGTGGCATAGGGATAACTGTCTTGAAGGATGATCTCTCTCGTTTCTATTTGTGGTTTAGACTATAAATTCCAGTGGCAGCCTTTCCTAATGAAAGCTGTTTTTCATTTCCTTGACCTTTACAAATATTTGAAAGACTGAACATGGAAAAAAAAATATTTTGTTTTTTATAATCAAAGAAGCAGCGTCAACTGTATTTTATATCCTGATCCTCCTACATTGGAAATTATTGGCTATTATACTTTTAATGAGATAAGTTGGGTCCTTGACGAGGCTTAATCTTGTGTACAATTGAACAGTTGGATTCAAATGTGATATATGTTTTTATCCCCTGTGTATTGTATGCACTCAGAGTCTGGGACTGGATAGGCATTAAGAGCTACTATTAGATGTGCAGTGCATCTGTAGTCATCAGGAGTCTGCAGGAGCTGAGCATATCTCTGACTGTCAGGTCTGTTAAAAGTGCCCTGTGATATGCTAGCGCAGGTTATTCACTGCAAAGGAGTTTTTGCAGGTGAGAGAGGATGGTCAAAGGATTTCCTAATGACTTGGGGATTCAGTGCTGGATTTACTTGATGTATTTTTATTGTTTATAGCTTTTCAGAATAGCTGGATCCTATTGCAGATATCCTTATAGTATGCCTTAGGCACATCTTGCATGAGGCACTAAAATAAAGCATGAAGTATGATGGTGGAGGGAAGCACATTTAAGCATAAGTGATGATTGGAAATTGAAGTCTTTATGCCTCTTCTGGAGGCACGAAGGCAAATCCTGGAAAACATAGGCATTACTTTAGTGACTCTTTGAATGTAACAGAAATGTTTTCAGTAGTCAGAGCCTGAAAGGAGAAATATCTGATCCATACCCATGGGTTTAAACTGAAAGTGTCTGTGGAATTATATTTCCTGTGCGTATTTAGAGGTAATCCTTCAAGGGAAGGAGTTTATTCTTTCGTTGAATCTGGACCCTTTCAGCTTCATGTTACAACGTAATCTTTCTCCCACTGCGAGCAGGCTGAGAACAGAGGAACACAGATCTCACTTACAAATGCCAGAGCTCTTGTACTTCGCAGAATCTTAGGTGCTACCGAGGGTTCTCTAAAAGACTGCTGCATTGCCACAAAACTAATACGTTTGTCATCTGGCTGGAGATTTAAATCCAGACCTCCAGAAGTCATCTGTGATAAAACCAGTTGAATCCCCAATCCTAAGTCTAAGAAACTTAAAATCGCAGTTTCATGAAGGGTAAAATGGAAGTGAAGGGATAAAGACAAAGTAGAAAATTGCTGGTAAGATACTTTAGGTTTTTTGCTCCAGTGAGGGTCTTATCTCTTTCCATTCATTCATCCTTCTGTCCATTCCTCCACTCCTTAATTCTGTTGCAGTGTATATATATATATGTACTGCAACATATATATATATATATATCTGTGTGTATATATATATATCTGTATATATATATCTGTGTGTGTGTGTGTGTATATATATATTTATCTATCTATATGTATCTGTGCATTGCTATACTTCAGGCTTCCTTCCCACTTAGAAGAAACACTTCACAATCTTAAAACTCTACTTTTTCATCATATCAACAAAATATTTAAAAGTGGTTTGGTTACTGTTCTTCTCCTACATTTGGGTTGTAAATAATCTAGGTCAGTGACCGTCTTAATTGCTGAGTTTATGCATCTCAAAACAATTAGCCATGGACCATGATTAGTGCTTTAGACATCATATCATTACCAGAACTATACAACAATGATAATAATAGTAATGGTGACAGTACTAATAGTAGTAATAATAGTGTACTCTGGACGTGATTCTTCACAATGCTACTGACTGTAAACTGTTTTTATAATTCTGCTGACTCAGATTCAGTGATTGTATTTGAATAAACCTAAATTATTTTGTCAAAACTAGTGTATCTAGTTTCACATCCAATTTCTTTATGAAAAAGCTATGCATTCAGTCAGGATTGTTGTTTGTAAGTAGTTCATTTTTCTTAAGATTTTTGTTGCTGGTTTCATTGTATTTGGACAAATTGCTGCATAACATTTAGAAGTACTTACAGGTGAAATTATCTATTTTAAGTTATATTTTATAGTTAGAGAATGCTGTTTGACTAGGGCAATGTTTTGGGGCCAGGTTAACATCATCAGGAGTAGTCAAGTCTGGTTTAGAGTCTTTCTACACAAAGATTTTGTTGCCTAAAACAAAAGTAGATTTCTACAGGTTAAGAGAGTAACATGAGAAGGCATTTTTCCTCCAGTTTATTTACAATTGAAAGAATAAATTAGGTTTTGAAGTCCCAGCCTCTGTGAAATAAACTACCCATTTATCCCATAAAGTAACACAAAGTGAGCGTTGAGAATTGTTGCATGACAGGATGTTGAAAATGAGGAAAGACTTACGAAGACTTGAAATTAGTTTATAGTATAAGTTAAACTTCAGGTTTATTAAAGCCCTTTTCTTGGCTCTCCTTGCATGATTACATAATCATGCAGTTACTCCAGAACTGCCTTGGTCTTTTTCCTACCAAGACAACAGCATTTAGTTATTAATTTGTAAATATTGTGCCTTTTTCTTGCTCTCAGAAAGTCTCTTCAACAAGAGCCAGTAATGCTGCTGATCAGCAAGAGCTGATCCTGTTGTATCCTGTATTTAAATAGTATCTTTACACCATAGCAATGTTCTTTGCCAGTATTTGCCTGAATCACAGAATCACAGAACGTTAGGGA